CAAGAGAATGCAGGCATGAAGGATGATTAGGAAGGATACATGGAAAGGACACAAGGTAATGAGGGCAGGAAGGATAGAAGGAAAGGACACAGAAGAGAAGAGTAAGATGGAGACACAGTATCTGGACGTTGAAATAAACTCTGGAAATTCCAGCTATGCTTAGCTGAAACCGTTCTGAGCCCAGTCAGACGTCAGTAACTCACCTCCCGTTGGACTTCACCGAGGTCGGGAAAGGAGTGATGTTGTAGGTGTACTTCTCCCTGAGCTCGGCCAGCTGGGGGAACGGGAACACGGCCATGGAGTAAACCTCCTGACAGACGAGGAGGAGGCGGAGTTAGTTCCTCAGTTCAGATTCCAGAGGACGTTTAGATTCTGGGTCCATTAGGTACCTGCATGAGCTCAGTTGGGTCGATGAGGTTCTCCTCCAGCATCTCCTGCGTCAAGCAGCCCATGGTGCTGTAGAACTCATCTGCTGACTGGCACTCCTCAATTCTCCTGCAGAGGACAGACCGGGTCCACTTAGGAGTTCTGAAGATTAAGTGAACCAAACAAAGCTGGACTTACTCTCCCAGTCGGTCCCAGATAGCCAGGGCCACTCGGAACAGAACCTCCGATCCCTCAAAGAAAACCGAGTCCCAGATCTTGAGGACGGTTGGCGCCGGAAGGCAGGTGGCGAACATGGTGAGAAACCACTGCATGGTGAAGACGTTGGTGAGCGGAGGCTCGTAGCTTCCTGGAAGCACAAGCAGCCTTCAGCTGGAGAACTTCCTTAAGCTCCTATCTGGTGTCTGCAGATCTTTACCTCCAGCCTCCCTGTTAGCAGCTCTCTGCAGGTGCTGAAGGTGCTGAGACAGCATGGGCAGCTTGACCCGCAGCAGATCCCTGAACACCGCCATGTCCACTGGAGCCAGGAGACGGACAGAACCACAACATTTACACACTATGTCTGCATAGTTACACCAAGAAGAGAAGAGGATGGGTTCAGAACTGCAAGCAGGACTTTTAGAAGGAGCAGCTGGTTCCAGTTCCCTCTGCTTTTCTCCAAACAGGTCACGCCGGTTCCTTTCCACTCTTTAATCTCCGATATGAGGTTTTTGAACAGATACAGAACAGATAGAGAATGTTCAGTTAGTTGTTTTTTTTTTGCAATGCTCAAAGGAGATCACTACTTTATCTGTTTTCTGAGCTCCTATCATATCGTACTCTGTTTTTCAAAGTCTGTTCTGCCTGCTGTATGTCTATATGACTCCAAGACTGACTGCTTACTCTGCGATTAACAAATCTTACTTTGCATTTTCCCACAAAGTAGATGTTGCTTTACTTTGTAACCTCGTCTCTCTTCCCATCAAACCCATGAAATACCACTGAATGGCTGCATAGCTCAGAGTAGAATAGACCTGGTGTCTATCTCAGTTCGAGCCACCAAGTAGCACGCATCATGCTTCAGCGGCTCAGACGCTCTGCAGGACCTTTTGCTGCACCGAGATGTGCATCAACCATTGAATTTGCATGTAAACCAGCTGCTTCTGCTGCCTCTGCTGCTTGCAGTCTGAACGTAGCATGAGACAATTTTCTGCCGGATAGGTTTTGGGCTTTTGGAGAACCCGGTCATCAGTAGGGCATTTAAATCGGGTCAGTGACTCACAGGTTGCTCCTTGGATCTGCAGTTCTGACCGGTTTTAAAAGCAGGATAAAGCTGGGCGTACCTGATAGAGCCCGCAGGTTGTTGGCAAAGTAGCTTTCAGGCAGAACCTTGTCGATGAGGTAAATCATCACCTGATGATAGTCACAGAAAGGTTCAGAAAAGGTTCCTCGTATCGGAACCGTTCGCTGAAGCTGGACCCATGCTCACCTTCAGCGCATCACTCTCATCACCTTCTGTCACCTCCAGGATCAGAGCAGCCAGAACATTGAACCCTTGACAGTAACCAACACTCTTGTTCCAGCGGGCGTAGGCCAGCAGAACCCGCTTCAGCACCACCCGGTCCTGCTCCCCCTCCTGGCCACAGTAAGAACTGCAGCCTGTCCTGTGCAGGTCCTGGGACGGGGGATATGAACATTTTAGAACCAGATGGATATCTAGGTGCAGCTGATGTAGAGCAGAGGGTGTATAGAAAGTACTCCTGGCAGTTTTACAGAGCTGAGACGTTCTGGACTAACAGAGGAAGGTACTATCTAGCATCGAGTTCTATTAAAAGTGCTCCAGGCTCCTCCTCTCTACTTTATAGAAGCTACATCTGGCCACATGTTTCCAGAAAGGCCATTGGGATGCCAGTTGATAGTTCAAGCCTCAGTACCTGCCTGTACGGCAGCCTGTGGGGCTCACCACCATCAGCGTGTGAGTGAATGACTGAATGTGGTGTGAAGCTTTGGTCAACTCTCCTGAATTGAAAAAGCGGCATACAAGTACAGGCCCTGCACCATTTCAAACTCTGCATCTCATCCTAAGAGTACGATCACATCTGGTTACCTTGACGATCTGGATGCCCAGGGAATCGTCGTCCGGGTTGCTGCGCTCATTGAAGGCGAAACGAAGAGTTTTCTCCCAGTCGATGGAGATGCTGTGGAGGTAGTGGTCTGCTAGCGTTAGCCAAACCTGTAAGAGTAGAACCAGAGAAGCAGGAACTCTGAGGATTCTGGAAGAACATCGGAGCAGTCTCACTGGTCAAACTGGTCCGCCGCTGACAGGGGCTCCTTTCTACTCCAGACGGGTTAGTTGGTTAGTCTGAGCTCTAACTGAGGTCACATGGTCATTACTAAGCTGTGGCAGATAGAGACGGGGGCTGCACGCACCCCCCTTTTGGAGACCATCATAAATATTTGCTACATATTTCGATCTATTAATATGAACCGCCAGTAGCTGTCATCTACACCGGCTCTGCGGTCGAAACTCATCCTATATCCTCC